AGGACCTTTTTGAACTGGCATGATGCTGACAAACAATTGGGTGGAAGGGGTGGAAGGGGTGGAAGGGGTGGAAGGGGTGGAAGTGGTTACAACCAGTTTCCAATATTGTACCGTATGTTGTTGAGGTTGAAGTTTTTTTTGGGGAGGGGGGGGGGGGGGTTAAAGGGAAACATCACCGACACCCAGTTGTTGAACTGGGTCAGCTGCAGTTTGTCCTTGAGACCAGGTGAAGCAACCTGCATTCATTCTGCGGGGAGGGACCAACGGCAGGTTGTTTACCCAGCCTAACGTTAGGTGTTATAGCGTGTCAGTCAGGAACTCTGCTGGGCTCAGTGAGGATGAGGCCTTGAGCCATACAACTTGGCTCCCAGCCATTCCCTTAGCTTTTCAGGGTTTGGGGGGGGGGGGCGTCCATTTAACCCACTAGCAGTTATTGTTGTTAGCAGAGGATCTGAGGACAGCCAAGAAAACTTGGATGGACTTCCCGTATTCTTTCTGAGGATGCTTCTTTTCAGTAAATTGCAAACAACATACAAATTTGGGCAAAGCCCTTGGCTGCTTGCTTGGATCTTTGGACTTCAACCTTTTTGGAAACAGTTGATTTTCACAAAACAGTGACACAAAAGGGGACTTCAACCGTTTTGGAAACCTTTTGGAGCCACAAAACAGTGAACACCTATTAGAGGGGTCGGCTGCAACCGACAGCCTGAATGGATGGTATCGCCCGCTGCCCGCTTCGTTGGTTTTTTGGGGGGGCGACCGCTTGTTCGGCGGTAAAGGAAACCAACAGGAGATTGAGCCCAGCCATTTTGGGTCCCTTTAAAAGAAACACCCAGGTTGGTTCCCTTGCAGTTGCATGCATTGCTGGCAGTTGAACCTGGGTTTACAATTCACTAATTGACCCCCTCCTTTTGATCAGTCGGGGAGAGGTCCCGTTTTAAAGATTCTTCGCTTGCCGGGGAGCTGGGTTTGTCCTGGACATGAAGACCGACCTCTCTGATTTTCTGCACCTCTGGATCTCTATGCACTTATGTCAAGTGTACCGATCCAGGAGCAAACGGAATTCCTGCATGAAGGTGCTTTACTGGGGGAGGAGTAGTACAGGGTCAAGTATGATTATTTTGGTGCATTTTGCTTGGATGTTAGGACTTTAACTTTTTGCCAACTAATGGGTTTTCCATTAAACCACTAAAGATAAACTTTTAGCAGGGGAGCAGAAAGCAACCGAGGATTGGTACCGCATCTATTGCTGTGACGCTCGCAAGCGGTAGTGTTCATGACTGGGTTTTAGTGCCGGCGAACGGCACTTTATTTTCTTGACAGCCCGTCACCAGTTTGGACTGTTCAGTTTCCTTGGGGAATGCGAACTGCAACAGTAACCGGAGTGAGGGTGTCTTCTGTTTCTGATACTAAACATGTGTTTACGTACACACCTCTACACATATACCTGCATACTTACACACATGCACACATTGATTTGCATAGCATGGCCAGTTTATGTCATAGGCCGGTGCTTTGGGCAAATTAAGGGGAATCTCTAATTAGGGCCGTACTTTGTTTTTTGTGGTCTCCATATATTTCACGGGGATTTAGAATTTGGCGCTTCCCCGTGGCCCGTGAGTTTTTGTTTTTGTTTTTTTGGCAGGATGGGAACGGAGATCCCGGACCTGCCGGCCGCCCTAACGGAGGCGAGATGGTCCGAGTCTTCCGGATTTGGAGTTTGGAAATGGCTCGTTTCCTTGCGATCGGTGCGAGTTGCAGGGAGTGAGAAATGGAATGACCCCTAGAAAACCACCCAACTTGTGGTTTCCTTTAAGGAGATCCCTGGGTTCATTCCCACGTTCCCTACTGAGCTCCAGCATTCCTTTTGATTCTCCTTTAGAACCAAACCAGGGGTACCTCAGACAGTTCATGTACTATACCGAGACTTGACTCATTTGGAGAGTGGGGAAACGTTGCATGGATTGTGGAGGTATATGCGGTCTGGTGAATTTGTGCAGTAGCCTATGGTGAACTTGGGGACATGACATGGTGGACTCACTAAATCTTCCGCGAAATCCAGGGGCTTCACTCATTTTCCCAGGCCCTAGAGGGCCTTCCGAGCCCTTGCGCTTGCGGCCTGCTTGTGGGTGGGTTGTGTGGGCAGAACATGCACATATTCTATTGCATACTGGTGTTGGTATGTCTTTTGTTTTGGCTAATCTTTGCTAGGTTCTGCTGCATATATAGATATGATATTATGATCAGAATACACATGCGTATACATATATATATATATATATATGTGTTTTGGTTCATTGGTTTCGTATATTTTCCGAATGGAGCTACAAACATCATTACATGTTTTTGGCAGGCAGCAGACGAGGAGAACCGGAAAATCATGAAGGCGCAGTCTGGGTGTTTGGGGTAGGCCGGCCAGGGCGGTTTGCGGTCTCAGGATGCACTTGTCACACTGCACTAGGGTGATTGTAGATGGCTCGGTTGTTTTGGACACCTTCACATGGACACCATAGGTGTCCTTCTTGGTTGGTTGAAACATGGCCCTGGTTGACCTGGTGCGTCAATAATATGCATCAGCTAGGCCATCTCTTGTCCTAAAAGGACACCTATGATCCTTATGTAAGCAAATCATAGCCCACCAACGAGTCTTCCTGCAAATGACGCTTTGCCGCGGTTTGAGAGAAGACGCCGGGTGAGAACCAGACCTTGATTTCGACAGGGGCTGGTTTTCAAATCCTAGGTCCCCCAGTGGTGCCCTTCTCTCCCCTTTTTTTGGTTGGGAGGATTCCCCTACTATTTTAGACTACAGAGAAAAAAATCGGATACCCTTATTCTAACCTCTCAAATCTGGAGGAACTAGAATCTGTTTCATGACCTCTTTTGGTCCAAAACGAATCGCTGGGATCTGACCACCTTTTTTGAGTTTTTCCTGGTTGGGTTCCCTCACTTAGTCATGGCCGCAAAAAGGTTAAGCTTTTTTGGTGGACAACTGAGTGACAATCACGAAGTCTTCTGTGGGACCTGTGCGTGAGAGTACTTGCAATCCTGGTCGCGGAACGTACTAAAGGACTGAATACTTGGTGGTTGCCAGCCATCCCCTTCGCCTTCTAGGTTTTAGGGTTTAGTGGGCTTCCACCATACCACGACAAGTTAAACTTGTAGTAGGGCATTTAAGAATGTTTCTTATGTGGGCGTGTCTTTTTAGAGCCCCTGTCCCCCCCCCCCCCCCCCCCCGCCCCCAAGTTGGCGGTTGTCCTTTTAGTTTTCCTGAACCACCAAAGCAGGGGTACCTTCCAAAAAGGACGAGCCACCCATGTAAGCATCCCTCCGTGCAGAAGCATGAACCTGTTCTGGTGTGCCTCTCTGACAAAAAGAGAGGCAGCAGCAAGGCCTCTTTGAGACTTCCTGGGCGAGTCTATGCTAAACTGCTATTGGGTTGGATCTTTCGACTAAGTTTTTGGGAAATCAAGTTGGGTTTTCCACTAACCCCCCCCCCACAAAGTTGTCCACTTTTTGCCGGGGGGGTCAACAGCAACCAAGTATATGGGGACGAAGTATGGAACATCTTGCTTCCCGCATTCCGGTTCCTCAGGCTTTTGTAGGTGTGGGTTAACCCACTAGAGTCAAGCCAGTGATAAGAATATCGTTGGCGTGGGTCGGGCCAAGTGAACAATATTCTTAAGCAAATGGAAGGATTTCAGTACATAACGGTCCTGTACTGAAATCCTTCCACTTGTTCAAGAACCACTGTTGGTGTTTTCCCCTTCCCGGTTTTAAAGAGAATCTGCTGGAAATATGCTGCTTGCTCCAGTGGTCGAAAAGGCTGGAAGAATCTCATTGGCTCCCGGACCCGAAGGGACCAGAAGCTTTGGATCCCACCGTGAGGCTTTGGGCAAAGAGGACCGAACGACGGGCACCGGGGGACCGGGGGACCCATGTGGTTGGGTCTGTCGAAAATGGGGACGAGATGGGTGGTGTTCTTTTCGGTTCCCTTAAAAAACAAAAAGAGAAAGGGCTTGCTTGGCTTGTTTGATGATGATTTAGTTTTATAGTATGGTTCTGTTGATTGTTGGTAGGCTGCGAACACAAAGTTCGCTACCATACATATCAATACCTTTCCCGACTTAGCTTCCCTTGTGAGCCTTTGCCTTTGCCGTTTCTTCATGTACCAGGTCAATCAGCAGAAGGGCAAATGTGTTTTGATCAAAGTTAGAAACTTGTGCACATGGCCGGTTTTATTTCCGATTCAGGGTCGTCCTTTGTAGACTGCCTGAATTTGGCAAGATGTTTGAGCTTTGATCTAAAAGTGGTAACCATCCCTATTGGAGGCATTGCGCGCAAACTTGTCAGAGGCAATGACCACCCTAAACCCTGTACTGCTGGTTGCATGTCTAGATAGTGCACTGATGATTGACGGGGACCCCCTCAACAGTGGTTGGTGCTACATCCCTACCTAAATGATGACAAAAGGGTCCCAGATAGAAACTAAATCCCACGGATTGTGTTTATTGCTTCAGTTGGTGGGTTCAGTGGGAACCAACCCCAAGAATCATGTTCTGACCTGGTTGGTTGGCTTTTGAGAATCCCTTTTTGAGGCAGCGCAAGATATCGGGGCCCCAAAGCCCCTCTATTTGGGGGTCTCCTCCAAATCTATTTTATTTGTATAGATTAAGCATGAAACAGAATCGGAACAAGCATTTTCTGTGTACCTAGTCTTGGGTCGCCAAGTCATGCGAGATTCAATCACCGATGCCTTTCGTGACGCTTTTAGGTTCCGTTCGCTTCCTACCTGGTGTGGGCCTGTAGAAAGGCTTATGGACCTGTGCGCCATGCGTCCCGATTATCAAGCTGGTTGCATACCACATGTTGTCTACATTACCTTCGCCCCCCCCCCCCCCCCCCCCGCCCCGCGCCAATGCCCCAACGCCCCTGATACAAGAACGGCCCTGTATCCCGAATTGGTTTGAGCGGCTTGCCGCATCGATGTTCCGATTGCCCGCAGCTGCTGATCCTCAAAAGACAGCGACGATTGTGCTCGACTTGTCTTCGCCATGTCTCTCATGTCTCGCCGGCATGCTTTTCACCAGGGGCACGCGAACACACACACACACACACTCACAACACAAACACACAACCACACAAACACAAACACAACCACAAACACAAACACAAACACAAGCACAAACACAAACACACACACACACACACACACACACACACACACGAACACAAACAGAAACACAAACATACAAAAACACATACATACACACACACAAACACACAAATGCACAAATGCACACGTGCATAAATGCACAAACACATGAACACTCGAAGCACCCCAAGGCCCCAGGCAACGGTTGGGGGCTCATGATCAAAGCGTTGAGGGAGGGGTCAAATGGAAGCGCGCGCACAGGAAGCCACATTGTGTGCGTTTTGTTGAGGGTATTCCTTTGTTGGCGGTTTCAAAAGGGAAGCCACGCGGCAAGCTGCTATTTATTTATTTTGGGAGGGGGGTGCCCTAAAAAAAGACACACACCCACACGGTTTTGCGGTCCAGCACCTTTTGGGAAGCATTGAGTTGGAGCAAAACGATTTCCAGCACCCCAGTTGCTAGCCCCAAAGTGGCAAGTGATTCACAGCGGCTTCAGGTTCCGACCATGGCTGGGTAACCAGGCGAAACCATCATGTAAAGCCGAAGCACTGCCTGGATCGCCGGTTGCTGCCTGCTTTTTTCCATGAGCTTTTCCCCAAAAACCGGCAACAGTGACTGAACAAAGCAGCAACTTGGCTATCTAGGTGGGTGTTTGTCACCTGGCATGATTGAATGTTCAAAGTCATGCGGCATGTCCAAGGAGCAGACCAGGAAGTCTACAGACCCCCGCTGTGTGGACGCAAACCCTTCAAGACCTCAGCTTGTGCTGGTGTTAGGGGGACGGCCCCATTGTGGGATTGCCACTCTGCATGTGCAGAGATATGCATTTCAGCGCCTTGTTTTGACTGGATCATCGGATTTGGGCCGGGTGGTCAAGTTGCCAAGTGACCAAAGGCGTGAGACACAGTCGCCTTGAACCCAGTTTCCTGATTTTGACAAAAGCCTGAGCCCAACATAGGCACATGTGCATGCAATTCTGTGCACAATCAATTGTCACATGGACACATATTTGCAATTGTTTTTTCCACTGAATACCATCATCTGCATAGATCATACATAGACATCAATCATTTGCATTCCTAAAAATGTTATAATTGAATACATCTCAATTTTGATCATATACAATGAGAGAGCGAGAGAGAAAGATGGAGGCAAAGATTGTTGCTTGCTGTGTGGTTATGTGGAGTTGCACACCGCAACTTTTTTATGGACCAGCTTGTGTGGCCTAGCAAGGCATTTTTTCGCAGAGTGGCCCCAGGCTCCGAAGTTTTGGTCCCAGGCTGCGCCGTGGTGTGGTGGTGACCCGAAGCCTGGCCCCGGCCGCCGTGTTCCGCCGAGGCGGATCGGATCGGGCGGGCGGATCGGATCGGGCGGATGGGACCTTCCGGTGCCGAGCTCGTGTTTCTGTTGTTGTGTTTTCTTGTCTTTTTCGTTTTGCGGTGCCGAGCTGGTGGTTTTCTGTTTTTCTTGTCCCCTCACAGTCATACCCCCTCCAATCCTCCAACGCAGCCCCGGACACCCGGAGGTTTCTGGACGGGAGAACCCCGACCAATTCCTCAGCTCTTCAAAAACAGTTTGGGCCCAACAACAATCGAGACCCTTGGGGTCCGGGAGAAAACAAAAGGGGTCGACATTCCCACAACCCTGATCGGATGTGCTAAAATTGGAAAATGAAACTTGAGATAAGAATATTTGATCCATGAACCCTCGTGGACTTTCGCGACTTTATCTCCAGGATTGCGCAAGCTTGGCCAGACTTCGACCAGGCGTTCTGCAAGAAATTATCATGTTGCAGTTGCGGGTTTGGAGAAATAAGCAAACGCACAAGGGCAAGCAGAGGTGTCCTTTTTTGTTTGATTGAACATCGATGGCCCTGCTTTACCTGGTGGTCTGTTGCAAGCAAACCAACAAGCACACCTACTGTGGGAGGACGAAGCCACTTCGCACCACTTGGGAGAGATGAAACCCTATAAATACAATGGGATAATCCACCTACCAACTGACTGCTCAAGGGTTTCGTGCATGGCAAGCACATGCCATCCGTTCGAGTTACCCTGGGGGTACTTCAAAGCCAATTTCATGACGGGAGTAAATTTAATGAACAAGCACACACGTCCCCACATGCAAGTTGCGCACGGGTCCGTGTCATTCACCAAAATGGAAAGCCAAGCTGAAGAGCAATGCCCTGCTTGAACAGTTGGTCTGGTACCTATACATAGATTGTTAGGGAAGGGGGGCAACTGGCATATGCCCGATCTCAAAACTGCCGCGTGCATGCCTGGCCACTTTGCGACTGACGTCCTCGCGGATACGCACACGCGTCAAATGACCTTCCTCTTCGGTCGGGTTGCCATGTGGAAGTTTCACTGTTGCAAGTTGGAATTCATGTTCCTGGCTTGGGGCAGTGGCTATGCAAAGGCCTCCCCATCTTTGGATCCATTGTGGGAATGGCTCACTCCAGTGATACCAAAGCCGTCCAAGTACCAGAACTTTTCGAATCCCCATCACGGAGGGAGGCTGGCGTTGTCTCACTAGGATCCGCCCACACTTTTCAGACTTAGCCTCCCACCGACTATACAACACGCAGATGGACAGACCCCTGTCGAAAGACAACTTGCCTCTTGGAAAAGGGCCTTTGTGCACTTTCATGTTAGTCTCAGTTGTCCAAAGCCAACCTTTTGACCTTTCGGTTTTCCCAGTTTGGTCCAGTTTTAGTCATGGCCCAAAAGGTTAACCTTTTATTTCTAGGTCCTTTGGGCAAGTGAGTAGTTGGTGGGCGCCTTTGACAATGCAGCCACCATGGCCACCATACGCGGGTATATATCCCGCTTGTCCCGAGAGTGGTTTGGGAGCAACCATCGAGACATGGGGCACCTTCAAAATGTGGGTCCAGGAAAGCAATAGTAATATAGAATCCAGGGGCTGATCAATTATATATATATATATTTGTATATGTATGTATACTTGACTGCTATTGGGTTGGATCTTTAGACTTTAACTTTTTGGAAAATGATGGTGTTTTCCGCCAAACCCCGAAAAAGTTGAACTTTGTGCAGGGGGGTGACAGCAACCAAGTACATATTTATATAGTTATGTATACTTGACTGCTATTGGGTTGGATCTTTAGACTTCAACTTTTTGGGAAATAAAGGTGTTTTCCGCTAAACCCCGAAAAAGTTGAACTTTGTGCAGGGGGGTTGACAGCAACCAAGTATATAGATATATATTTATATGTACACACTTGACTGAAAGCTAGCAGGGGCTTGAAGCTACCTTGGAACGCCAATTGTTGGACAATATATTAGTAGTCAGAGATCTCCCAAAATGGCACCTATTCTAACTCAACAGGAAACAGGCCCTGATGGGCATCACGCGGAATCCAAAGTTCAGAGGGGACAGGTCGCACCCAGATGTATTCTTTACCATGAGCTCTTGCTTCTCGTTTGGGGTAGACTGGTACGTTGATTACTCGCATTTATTCGCATTTGCGAGTTCCGGGCAGTGGGTCTACTTTAAACGAGGCGTCCGAAAGCTTCGGGGTAGCACTCTACAAGAACTAACAGGTAGGTCGAAGGGAGGCGAAAACTTCTGACTTAGCCCCAAGAAATTGTAAAAGCCATGCATCCCGGAGCCAAAAGGATTTTTTTTGCAGGTTTTTCTTTTTGCGAAGCGCAAGCCCGTTTTCAGCGGGTTTTTAGTGGGCTTCGCAGGCTACCACGAGGCGGTCCATGACCACTTCAACAACCCTCGCAACGTGGGAAGCCTGGACAAGGAGGACCCACCAGCTCGAGTTGGGTCTGTCTTCTTTTAGGGGAAACCCCTTTCTGCTTGGCTAGGTCCCCCAGTAGTGCCCTGTTACGCTTTTTTGAGGGGGTTCCCCCATTAAAATAGACTACAGAAAAGGGTACCCTTATTCTATCTACTGGAGGACCAAGTTGGGTAAGGGAATACCACGGTGAAAACGACCATGGCATTTGACAGCCGCCCTGGACCCAGTCTCGCTCTGATTTGTCGGGACGAGGTCTTCAGGCCTCAGTCCCCGTCCAAGTCTGGGGGTCAATTCCTCTGGGTCCCCTTGGCAGTGGGCTCGTGACAAAGGCAGATAAGTCAACCAGGTTTGTTGATATGGGTTCCCCCATTGGGTATCCTTTTGGTTGCCTTTCAAAACCATCCAAGAAGGGGCTGCGTGTCCTATGAGAGACACCCCTCTTGGCGGATGCGTTAGGACAAGAACGTGGGCTCAGCGCTGGTGGGCAAGGCATCCTGCGGAGATGTCATCAAGCTGCAGGCGTCCAACCGCTCGAGCGCCTGGGGGCGCTCTGGAACCACATACTAGGTCCCCCAGCCAGGTGCCATTTATTTTACCGTTTTTTTTTTGAGGGCGGAGGGTTCCCCTACTAAAATAGACAGAAGAAAAAATGGGTACCCTTATTCTAACCTCTCAAATCTGGAGGGCCTAGCAGGCTTATTTGGAATCTCCTGAAGCAAAGCGGATGTGAAAAGAGGTCCCGGTTGACTCTTGCAAGAATCCATGGCTGAAGCCAAACAAGCCTCCATCCATGGCTCACCAGAAAGAAAGCAAGTTCCCACTTGCCAGGGAAATCCTCCGGATCCCAAAAGGTGATCACCTTTTCTGTGTGGTTTTTTGAGAAAAAGGCACCGATTCGTGGAGGGGGGGGGGATCTTGGTGTTTTGTTTTTGAGATCAAGCAAGCACCGATTCGGCGGGACCTGTGTCAGCTTCGGCTGCTTCGAGCTCAAAGAGGGTTGCCTATGTCCAGGTCCTTTGGGCGAGTGAGAAAAGCCCCATGGGCCAAATGTTCCTTGAACTGAGCCTAACTTTCGTTTCGTGCTGCGAATGAGCGTTTCCCAAACCGATGGTTTGGAATGTGTTTTTCAAGAAAAAAAGCAGCCAGTGGAACTCCCGGCCCTGTTTCCTTGGTGGCTAAGCCGGCCATCCGGTTCCTTAGCCATTTAGCTTCTTAGTGTTTAGCGGTAGTTTCCATTTACTCCACTCAAAGTTCATCACTTTTAGCGGGGCATCGGAAATCGGGCCGCCCTGTTTCGGGACGGATTGTTGCAATGCGGCTCCGGTCTTGGCAGGTCAAGGTCGGCAAGGATGGCGTTATCCAGGACTCGGGGTTGAGGCCTTTCGCGCCAATGACGCCAGAGCCTCTGGCCGATGTTGCGGAGGTGGCATCCGTGTTGGCAGGTTTTTGTTAGTTTGTCTTTGGTGAAAACTTTGCCAAGGGATGTTAGGACTTTAACTTTTGGCCAACGAAAATGGTTTTTCCCATGTGTTCCCATCAACAGCCACAAAAAGTTATTCACTTTTAGCAGAAGCAACCGAGTTGTTGTGGGTCTTTCAGTTTTGGTAGGGGGGCTCAAACGTTTTTGCCGACATACCAAGGGTTGGAAGGTCTTTGGAAGGATATCCCCAGCCCATTGAGTAGCGGGACTCATACCCTTCGGGGTAAGAAAACCGTCAGGAAGTTGTCCATAGCCATCCCCGGCTTTGAGTAGGTCTTCGAGGCCTTTGAGGTCCAACACCAAATCCGGTGCTTCCGGTCACCCCTTTGAACCTGAAATTTCGGTGGGGGGAGTCATGTCCACTCACGGTTCCGACTCTAAAAGTTCATTCCCCATACTGTGGATGCACGAAATCCTGTTGCGCATCCGAAGAAACTCTGACAAGATTCGATTCCGCTGTAAAATACCAACTAATTTAATGATTCGATTCCACCTGTCAAATACCAACTACCAATGGTTTCAACCATGGGGTTACTTATGATTCCCCAAAACATGGTTAGATTCCCTTGTAAATAAAAAAAAAAAACTCATGGCTTCAACCATGTCCACGTTGTTTGTTTTTGTTTTTGTTTTTTGCCACATTTTTTTGTTTCTTTTCCCCGTTCTGCGCGCTAGACGATCGAGTCGCGGAGAGAGATCTCCGCTTCGGCAAAGATCGGGAAGACGAGCGCAGGACGCCAAGTTCAAGACCTTTGGCTGCGGCTCCGCCATCGCCAGCTCCTCCTACGCCCGGGACGCCCAGTCAGCCAGCGAGCGGAGCGGAGCGGAGCCATTCGAGTGGAGTCGAGGGAGCGGGAGTCGGTGCTCAGATGGTTCCGCTTTTTGTTTTGTTTTCTTCTTTTTCTCGGTTTTGCCAGATGGGGGTGTGGATTTGTGGATTTGTTTTGTGGGTGTTGTCGATTTGTTGAGGACACCCGCTTTTGAGAGACAAACAGATGGCACACATAGGATCTTCAACCTCAGACACACAGCCTTGCCCCCCCGTTCCTTGTTTTGAGGGGTTTTCCCTTACAATCGACCATCAAAGACCTAGCCGCGAAATCGGTTCCCCATTGAAATCCACGTGTTGAACCGACTCCATGGTTGGTTGCCAGGTTTGTTGCAACCATACCCCGGCGGTTCGTTGAGGGAAGGCTCACTGGTGTTGCGGAAACCCACAAGCTGCCAAAAGAGCAAGCCGCTTTCCCCCCTTGGACAGCCCTTGGGTCTGATTATTTAAGACAGAAGGAACATGCCCTTGATTAGTCTTTTAGTGACTGAGATGCTCTTGGGCAGAGCAGGCTTGATAACAAGTGCCTTGTGGAGATCTTAGATATATTGGTTCTCAATTATCCTGATTTCTTCCACTTTATCAAGCACTGTTTATTCTTCGCGACAGCACCAAGAACAATTCATGTTATTGTTGTTTTACTAACATACTCTTTAATAACCTTCTCTTCCAATCGTGGGCTTTTGGGCTTTTGGGGTTTTGGGGTTTTGGGGTCTTGCCCAAACCCAGCCATGTGTTCTTGAGGGCATTTCGTTTTATGATAAGCAAACCTAGGCAACCACTGCAAGCAGAAGTTCAATCAAAAGTACAGTAACAAAAAAGTACACCATGAGACGCAATCCAGAAATACACCCAGAGAAACATCCCGGAATCCAACGTACAAACTAAACACACCTCGCTGTACAACTTTCACCCCGCCAACCGACTTTCACCCCGCCCCGACGCATACCGAGAGGGAGTCCAACACACACACACACACACACAGGGATCCATACGCGCATGCATATGTGACTTCCTGCCTTGGGATTTTGCGACAAGTGCCAAGACAAGTTTTGGGTCACAACCTTTCCCAGTACTAGCGCTAGGTAACTGGAGGTGGAGTCAAACATTTTCGTTTGTTTCCACTGCATGTTGACATTTGGGCTCCTGAACAACGACAGGTTTTGCTACTTATGTCACTGGCCTGTGTATCAATTGTTAAAATTGGAGGCTGCTGCCGTATGTCTTGCTTCAGCTTCAACTTGCAATCAATAGGGTTCCTTGGCATCTATGGGGCTCTGGGAAAAGAATTGGTGCCCTTGTTTCCCAACTCTGAGGGTTGCGGGGTTGGGCAGTTCGTGCCACAACTTCACATCGGGCCCCGTGTTTTTTGGTCTCATGAATCGAGGCCACAGAGATGATTATTGGACAGAACATCGATGAGGTGCGACGAGTTCGCAAGTCGCAAGCTCCGGAAAGCGGACTTCCACTTGTCGGGTTTGGAACATGCTGTGGTTGGACGAAACTCGTTCGCACCACCAAAATGTCTCGCTTCCCTTGTAAATACCACGCAGCAATGGTTTCAACCATGGTTTCTTAGGTGGTGCGAGCGGTTTTCGTGCACCCACAGGGCTTCCAATCCACTCCGGAGTGGCTTGGTTCAACGAGTCCAGGCATTCCGCAGGTTCAACTTGGGCCCTGGATGCCTTACCGTTTGGCTGAAAAGGTTGTATGTTCCCCTGACTCTGAAGGGAATCTAGTAATTACACAAGACAAGACCTGGCTTGGAAGACTCTGTTTTGGGGCTTCGTATCGATGTTCACAGGGTGTAGGGAATTGGTTTGTTTTCCACCGCGGCTTACAAAGTGCAGACACTTGCGCAGATAACTTGCTTGGATCATGCTGAAAGCGCAACGCACGTGGCCATTTCAGTATTAGGTTGGATAATGAAGGTGCTTTACTTGGGGAGTACTTGTTTTTTGACTTCAGAAGTACCTGAGCGTTCCTTGGCACCTTGTGCGGATGTACACTGACCACTTGTTGAAACCCTCTGGGTACGATACAAATTGAGGGCTCGAATCGACGAAACTGCGGTGGTGCCAGATTGGGGGTTGGGATGGATGCCCCGCTTGAACACTACCTTAAGCGGGTCCTTACAAAGGCCAGTGAGGTGGTTGAAAAACCCATAAACCACCAGTCAGTACAGGTTTTGTGTGAAAGGGCCCGAGCGCGACATGCTTACGCTGGACAGGAGAGACACCATGCTCTCAGGGAATTTGTGCTGTCTTTTTGAGGGGGCCCTCTAAAAATGGTGGTTTTCCTGTTTAAACCAACACTATCCTTTAAACAGACAGGCACACATATGGGGACTTTCAATGCCAAAGCAACCCAGTGGGTCGCTTGACTTGTGAGGGTGTACTTTATCCCTGTGCTTGGCATTTGTTGAACATACTTTTAGTTTGCCGTTTGTTGGCTTTAGTTCTTGCCGTGTTTTATGAGTTCAAAAACATAGCACGAAATGCTTTCATATGTTGTTCGGTGGTTCTGTTCATTCTATCTGAGTGTTGGCTGCTACGAACACCATGTTCATTTACATGGCAAGGGTTGGAAACCAAGGCTAAACAAAGTCCTGGTTGAATTTTGACCGCGGGACCAATGTCCCAGTGCAGAGGGAATCATCACCGGCCCTGTTCAGCTGTCAGGTGTTTATTTCGGGGTCCGATTCGGGTTCGGCATTGAAGACTGGTTGGGTGGTTTATCCTTCCTAATCCTTGGTGGTTAAACAGTTTGGGTTCCAACAACCTGTACTTTCGTTTCTTCCTCTTTGAGGGACAAAAGAAAGACGTACCTTCCTACGCTGGCCCCAAGGCTAAGCTGAAATTGGCAGATCACTGGAGGTGATTGCTCCCAGATACAGTGGACGAAATCCGTTCGCACCTCGGCGAAGAAACCCTGGAATGCTTCGCTTCCACGTAAATGTCAACCATGGCGCTTCTTAGGCGGCGCGAAATGGATCTCGCTTTTCCATCTACAGTGCCTAGAGGCTCCAATTCGATGGTTTCTTGGGCCCTCAAGCAGCCCGGTTTTGAGAACCCCAAACACCGAAGCGGGGTGTCTCATGGAGGGGTCGGGTCTTCCATTGAAAGCCACAAAAAAGAAACTCTAGGTAGTGACATAAACCAAGACGCAACTGCCCATGAATCATCGGAAAGTGCCAGATCGCCAGGCATCCAAGAGCCGACCTCAGCGCCGGGTGGGGGGGACGGGGGTTGGAGGTCTGTCTGGGCCTTCAGGCCCCAAACTCCAGCGACCGATGGATCGATGCCTGGAGTTGCCATGGGCATTGGTCCGTTTTCGAAGGAGCGAGGAAATCACCTGTGAGTTTCCCTTCTAAAGGGTCCCGTCCAATGAGTCATTGGCAAGCCTGATTGACACTCGGACATTTGTTCATATTGAACGAGCCCTAAACATACTTGAACCCGTTGGGCGTTTGGATGGCTAGATGGAGCTTCCAAGCTTTTAGGTTGGTTTGACCCTCACGTCGGGAGAACTGCCTTGGCAAACGGAAGGTCAAGAGCTCGCCCATGAAATGGTTACAAGCTCCAGCGTTGCGCCCGTTGACTTTGGTCAGAGGAATGGTTGACAAGCCACCGTCCCAACTACTAGCCTGGAACCGCTTGAAGTTGGATGTTGCAGATCCCTTTCTGGAGGAGAAATGAGCATTTCCTCATTCGCTTTCAGACTCTGGGCTTGTTTTGGACAGGGCCGCCTTTGTTCGTTGAGAGGACGTGAGGTGGCTTAAGGATCAGGCATCTTCCACCTCTTTGGCAGCCCTTGTAGCCTTTTCTGTTTTTAGGGCCACCCAGAGGCCCCACTTCTAAAAGCAGGCGGTTTTCGGGCGGAGCCCTCATTGATCCTCCAACATCTTCCCCCCCCCCCCGCTTCCCTCCATTTTGTTGCCTGACAAACCAAAGTTGCAAGGGGTATGAATTGGCCCCCCCCGCCCCGCCCCCCTCCCCCCCAAGTTTAGGCAGCCTATGGCCTGAGGATCACGAACTCAGACATCTCCTCTCACCTGAAGCTCCCGCCCGTGAAGATCCACTGCTCCGTGCTCGCCGAGGAGGCCATCCAGGCGATTCCGGCGCTAGATGCGGGCGGGTGGTCATCGAGTCATGTGGATGGACGGAATCCGTTTTCGCACCGTTCAGAAACCCATGGGAATGAGTCGATTCCCCGAGGTAACTACAAATGGTATGGTTTCAACCATGGTTTCTTAGGTGCGAAATGGATTTCGCAACCATCCACAGTAGGGAATCGCTGGGCTGGCAGGCGGCAAGTAAATCCTTAGCGGTTCTCTACCGGCACCTGTCCTCAACTTCCAATGGTCCCGAAAACCCCCTTCAATGGAGTGACGGGTCCTCTGATGCTTTGGGTAATGACAAATCAGATCCAACCTTCCGAATCTGGATCGGCCCGAATCAATGAAAAGGGAAAGCCCATCCATTCGGAAAGGCACTTTCAACCCTCCACCGGTCCACTGAAGCTGACATGGGAGGCTACTACTGCCACTACTAGTACTACTTCTCCTACTCCTACTCCTGGTCCTGGTCCTATTCCTAGTCCTAGTCCTATAGTCCTACTACTACTACCACCACCACCACCACCACCACTACTACTACTACCAGTTGTTCTTTTCCTGAATTAGTTTGCTTTTGATTCCTCAGTCAGCTCCCCCTCAATGGTTGAGATTGTCTTCCTGCGTCGAGGCAAGCCCCTTTCGGTCGAACACGGTAAGGTGGCTTTGAAGGGAGCGGTTCCCACCGGTTGCTGGGTCCTCCAACGGGAAGCCCCCGCCCCCCCAGCATCAGATATTCGGTCCCTCCATAGGCTTGCTGGTGCGAGCAGGGAAGGTAAGGGAACCCAGGGGTCCGCTTAAAGGAAAGCACCAGTTGGATGGTGGGGTCATTCAGGGTCAGATATTCGAATCTCCGACCTGCAGCTGATTCGCAAGTGAATTCTTCCTAAGCTGCCACAAAAATATATGGCAAGCTGAGTTGGCTGTGGGCCAACAAATAGGGACCTCGATAGCAAAGTTGCTGCTTTTTCAAGTCACTGTTGCTGGTTTTGGGGATAACGTGCATGGAAAAAAGCGATCGCAACTGGCGATCCAGGGAAACCCCCAAATGATGGTGTTTTTGGGGACCCACACCTGATTGGCTTAAGAAAGATACCCTTCATCAGACATCCAGCGAGCTCCTTGTCTCCTCTTGGTGCGCGGGGATGTCCCTTTCAAATCGACTGCCAAGAAAGAGAGTGCTCTTCTTCTTCCAGGGCCACTGGCTGTGGGGTTAGATACCTTTTCATTGCAGACACTGGGCAAGAAAAAGCATGGGGCAGTGGCCCTTGAAAACAACACAACATATGGCTGTGGGCCAAAACCAATGGGATCCCATTTTGGGATAGGCGCAGTCCCATTTTAGAACCTATTTTAGTGGTTGGATTGGGATGTTCACTGGGGGTAACCGGGCTTTTCACCCATGGCCATATCCCCAACAGCCCCAATGCCGCTCAGAAACCTCTTCGCGGCGGAACCCGCGAAGCGTCGCCGTGCTTGTGCTGGCAAGTCCTTTGAAAGCTTCTGGTACGTGTTGCCCTCTTCGAGTTCCTGGACTTTAGTGGTAAATAGAAAGTTGATCGTGACTTTTTGGACTTTCGATCTTCTGGACTTGATCGTCACTTTTTTGGGGTTTGACAATTTTATTTGCAAATATCAAGTTTCCAGACCTTTCGTTGGCCAGTCCACTCCTTCGGAAGTGAGTCGTTCGGAATCCCCCAAAAATAGTGGTACCTGCAATGGGACAATGCTGTTCGTGGGCTTGGGCTTGGCTGTGGGGTGCTTTGTAAAACTCCAAGTTTATTTGATGAGAAGAGGAAGTATCCCCCGGAAAGATGGCTTTCCTGTTTGTGTCGTCTTAAACAAACAAAGGGTAGAGTACCCTCATAAAAAGAACCCACACCAAAATGATGTCGATTTCGCAGGCGGCCATCGAAGATTACAAGGGCAAGCAGAGCCAGAGTGCAGCTGAGTGAGCTCGTAAGCCTCGGTCACGGGTCCTCCAAAAGGACTAGCAATGAGTTTTCGAGCCTTCTGGAGGCCCACCCAATGGGACTGAAATCTGAGACTGGTGGAATTTCCGCTGTGGGGAAAGTTCCCTTTTCCCCCCACTTGCTCGGGATTTTGATTCTCGGGCTCTGTACAGAGACCCTTTGGCAACAGACCGCCATGCAAAATCGGCGCTGCGGCAGGCCGGTTTCCCTATGCGAAAGCGACCTGCAAGACTCGGTCCCCCAGCTGGGTGCCCTTTTGCCAACTTTTTTTGGGGAGGCTACTAAAATAGACAAAAAACGAAAAGAAAAACAAACTGGTAGCAACTTATTCTAACCTCTGAAATCTGGAGGACCTAGACAAGTTGATCAACCCCCCCATGTTCCTTTTTAAGGATCCCCGATTTTGCGATTAGCCAAATCCTGCAAATGTGTTCCGGGGGTGGTGTATCGCACGGCAGGGTTTCATCCGAGTGGTTCAAAGTCAAGTTGAACAGCCAGGAGGCGAAGAGTTACCCCGCGGCGGCGCGGGACCTTGGACACGACCAGGTACAAGAAATCGCAGTTTTTGGGGTCGGCTCGGTCCCCTTTCAGATGGGTTTAAACGGAAAGCAAGAGGAACCAATTCGTGGGGTGGTTTTTTTGACATGCCCAGATAGGTGTTTCTTCGACGTGTTGTTGTTTCCGTCACTTGTGGGGGTTCTGGGCGGGTTGGACCAGTCACCATGCCTGTCACCAGGCATCGCCTTCCGTTGGTTGGACAAGGAAGGGCTCAAGCGGGGATACCTAATGGACAACATCCACCTGGGATGGATGAAACACGGTTTGACAACAGGTTGAGAAAGCACCCAATCCCAGAGGCTCATGAACCCTCCCCCAAAGTCTGGCCTTTTGAAGGATTTTGGGAAGGCTATGGCCCTCAAGTCGGGAGCCTTTGGGAAGCAGCAGACTGGTTCCGATCGATTCCCATGTCATGGATAAAAGTAACCATCCACAGCAGTCGTTTCGACTGGAACGTTGGGGTGGAAATCGCAACATGGAGGCTTGCCTGTTTGATTTTTTTGGGGTGGGGGGGTGGGGGTACCTTTTTTTTTATTGAGTTTATATAATTGGAAACCAACAGGAACACCATAAAATGGCGGGTCTGTGGAAAAACCAACAAGCCCCCCCACCCTCATCATTTTTTTGTTCCCGCCCCGGTGTTGAATTCTTTGGTTTTTTGGGTCCTCGAGCCTCACATTTTGTTGGGACGCTAACTCGGTCCTCGTCTCGTTGCCGAGGCCATCTCGGTTCGCGCCAACTACGCCATGCGCCAGATGCCGGCGATCTTGGACCACGCCTGCTGCCCAGAGCGCGGAGCGCGTGCGGTTGCTCGGTGGCTACCTGAGGTTCACTAGGCCGCAGATGGCTTTTTGTTTCATGAGGCGAACACATAAAAGTGGAGCTTTTTAAGTGTCTTTTTGGCAAAATTCACATTTGACATGGACCCCCGAAAAGGGGTCCCCCAAAAAGAGATTCCTCTAAAGATGTTCGGGTTTTGGGTTCCATGTTTAGCTGGGGAGTAAATGCAGTTGTAACAGCAGAGCCAAAGTCCCAACCATCAAGACATGGCCGGCCTTTCAATTCTGTTAGTACCAGGTTTTGATTGTGACTCACCTCCCACAAGTGCAGATGCACGCGTGACAGTCTCAACCGTCCCAACCCAATCCTCATGCGGGCCGGATTGAAACCACCACTGATACGGGTCCATAGAACCGCCGTTGACCTGAGGAGTGTCATCGTCTAAATCCGGCCAACCGTTCTTTGGGTTGAGCCCTAGGGATGCATACTTGACCCCAGCAACTTTAAACTTGAGAGTACGTAGAATGCACGGCGGATTGATGCCCAGAAAGACGTGACTCATCTCTTTACTTCTTGGGCAGAAGGTTTCCGGCCGTACCAAAATGTGGATCAATATTTGGAGGGAGGTCTAAGACCAACGCAGCTGGTCCTCTGCTTCCGGAAGCAAAGATTCCCCCGCGTTGCCACGGAACCTGGCCGGGGGTTCTTGGAGGTCAAGTTTCTGCTAGAAGGACCTTGGTAGGTTCCAGGCTTGGGCAAATTCTCAGGAAGTTGCATTCCCTCAAACTTCCAACGCACCTTCCTTGAGATGCAGCCGCAACTTCGACCGTGGAGAAGCCAACAAGCAAAGATTCGGTTGAAAAGTCAAAGTTGCATGTGCAACGACCTGGTAGAACACTGGACCCTCACCCCACCCACAACCTCACTCCACCCCACCCACCCGCACCCCACCCCCTCCTTCCTCTCCCCGTTTTCACAAAACCGGAGGCGGCGAAGAACCACGTGCTCGAGGTAGGGGGTCGCTGGGAGTCACTGGGAGTCCGCGGTGGCTTGTGCATGTTCACTTTCTTTCCCAGGTGTCACGGACGGCTTTGTAGGTCAAACACACCACAACAAAGGCGAAAAGGTGAGAGGGAGGTGTGCAAAGCGAAGATACTTCACTGTCAGCATTGAAGCTAAAGTTGGTTGTTGGCATTTCTTGAAATGTCTGGTCTTCGGCATTTCAGTTAAAGTTTGTTGTTGGCATTTCTTGAATTTCTGGTATTCGGCATTTAAGTGAAAGTTGGTTGTTGGCATGTCTTGAAATGTCAGGTCTTCGGATGTCTTCGGCATTTAAGTTAAAGTTGGTTGTTGGCATTTCCTGAAATTTCAGGTCTTCGGCATTTAAGTTAAAGTTGGTTGTTGGCGTTTCCTAAAATTGTCTGGTCTTCGACATCTAAGTTAAAGTTGGTTGTTGGCATTTCCTAAAATTGTCTGGTCTTTGATGGTTCCCCGGTCCTTTCAGTGGGGGGCCTACAAAGGACCAACTGATGGCAAAGAATTCGACGCCTCGAGGTGAGAGAGATGCTGCAGGCCCCGCCGGTTTGAGAGCGAGCGACATCCACGTCAACCGCGCGAGAGCGCGGTGGCGAGACTTTGGTCTCTTTGGTCATTGGTGAAATCCATTTTACGTGTTTCAGGCGAATTATTGGAAAGGTCCGAAAGGTGAATTGGTTTGATTTACGTGTTTCAGGCGAATCTTTGGAAAGGTCCAAAAGGTGAATTGGTTTGATTTACATGTTTCAGGCAAATCTTTGGAAAGGTCCAAAACGTGAATTGGTTTGATTTACGTGTTTCAGGCGAATCTTTGGAGGTCCCAAAAGGTGAATTGGTTTGATTTACGTGTTCCAGACGAATCTTTGGAAAGGTCCAAAAGGTGAATTGGTTTGATTTACGTGTTTCAGGCGAATCTTTGGAGGTCCCAACAAAGCTGAGCACTTTGGACACACAGACCCTAGATGTAGGTGAGGTAGGTGGTGTTGGTCACGTACCACAAGCCAATCCAATCGCCCGCTGACGGGTGAAGCTTTTGAAAAAGCCCAAAGGGGGCCATTGAGCACCAGACCCCAAAGTTGGCCCGTTGAACCAACAGTGAACCGGGTTAGGCACACCTCCCGATGCGGATTTCGTGATGGTCTGTTTTTCTCTCGGTAGGGACTGTGGGAATGAATTCAAGGGGCCCCTTAAAGCAAAAAGGGATGGTGTCCAAGAAAAAGGGATGGTTTCTGAGCCTCATTCTCATTCTTTGCCTACTGCATCAGCAAGAGTTGGAATCTCCAAAGTGGCTAGGACATGAATCCAGCAGATCGCTTCAGCCCGGCTTCTCTCCTAGGTCCCCCGGTCGTGCCCTTTGATTTTTTTTTATTTTTTTTCAGGAGAGGGGTTCCCCTACCAAAATAGACAAACAAGAAACATGTTGGTACCCTTATTCTATCCTTTCAAATCTGGAGGACCTAATCTCTCATTTAATCATTTGCCGCGACGTCCACCAAAAACACGAAACGGGGAGTGTATGAAGGCCTCGAGAGGCATGCTCAGTTTGAAGCCAAAGAGGGTCCCTTTTTATCCGTTTCTCTCTTGGGATGGCTCCTTTTATTCCCCTTTGAAAAAAAACAAAAACATCACAACACATTGCTCCCTTATTCCCGCTCTTTGCAAGACTTCAGCTGCTTGGGAAAAGACATCGCCATGGCCGTTAGGAAAGCCGCAGAGCTTGCCTCCTTGTATTTTTTTTCCGAGTGGTCATCATTATCTTTGATTGTTTCGTGTCAGCACACAAGTTGACATTGGCTTTTTTTTTACCGGGTCACTGGGCTGGGGGATCGCTCCACAAAACAGTACCCACATGTTTGTCTCCAAACCAGTCGAATTGCTCCAAAACGCAGTATGCTGAGCGACACCAAATCTCTGGACCAAGGGATCCTCGGTTAGCAACTATCTATGCGTGCAGTGGACACCTGGTGTGGAGGTGCATTCACAGTATATCCTGCAACTTGGATGCTCCATTGTTTTTTGAGTGCCGTTGGATGCTCGTTTTGAGCGGTTTCGCCTGCGGCTCCACTCCCTTGGTTCCATGACTTATTGGTGTGTGTTGAAAATAGAGGATTCCAGGCGCACCTTCCCCATGCTTCCCAGGCGTCCTTCTTTCCAGAAAACCTCGGGAAACGCAGGGAAATCGGCGGTTTTCCGAAAAGAACGATGGTTGAAAAGACTGCGGAATCAACCCGAAGGATCCCCCCCCAAGCCAAGGACCCCATCTTTGGATTCCCTCCGTCCCACCAGCATGACACCTGAGAACTTGGTCCCTTGAGAGAATTGATCTTCCAGGCACTTTGTGACAGATGCCACGGTGGATGCACCCTATAGAAACCCTTTGATTTCATAAATTTGTGGTGTATTTTTGGTTTACTCGGAATATGTTTGGCATCCGCATGTTAGCGGGATGGAAAGTACGGAGAACTCCACGTGGGTCTATCTCGTGCTTCTCCTTCTAAAGGCCTCAATATGTGCGTTTCAGATGTTTTTTGTTTTTTTTCTCTGCTGGCTTCAACGAAACCCTATCACCAGTACTGGAAATATGTTCTCTTGTTTGTTTCTTGTTTCGTTTTTGTTTTTGTTTTTTTTCTTCAAGCTTCAAATATATTCTAGCACCAGTACTTTTTGTTTCTTCAAGCTTCAATTGGAATCTATCACCAGTACTGGAAATAGGTTATATTTTTCCAGATGAAAACGCGCGAATGGAGCAAGGCCCCAAAAGGGTACCCTCAAAGAAGAGACATTGGGGGGCCCACATGTCGAACCC